GTGAGCTTGTTTGAGGAGCATTGTGAAAACCTAATCTGTGGTCTCATTGCCCTTGCAGCAGCCAAGTTTTCTAAGGTACTCTATTTTATAATCCGCACTGTACTATTAATTGGTATATAATGAGGTTGAAAAGACACAGGTCCATCAAGTCCAACTTGTGTGTCATTTTGAGTTATCTACAAATGCACATACACCTCTGTGTGTGCTTATTATTTTAACCCCTTCATGAGAGGGTAAAACAAATACTAATGCCTGAACACCATTTTGAAACTTTGACGTGTTAGTTAAACTGTGCATATCATCACAGCCACTTGCTGTACCTAGGTGGAATATACCTTTTGTTTTTCAGGACATATTGGGCTTACGTTTGGTGGTAAATGGTAATAGATATCTCCTAATTTTATGTATCTCTTGCTTTATTATCAAAGGAAAGCTGGCCCAAATAGTAAAAAAATAAATAAATGAATAATTTTTGAAAATTTGGTTGTCATTTTTATTTTTTTTTTTACTTTTTGCTGCAACTATAACCTACAACCAAACAACCCAAATAAATTCTGACGATTGCAACTATACCACATGTGTGTATGTTATTTGTTGTGTGCATGTGCATGTAGGTTTTTATTTTTTTACACACTAAATTATACTGTCCTTTTGACCCTGGCATTTTTTTTATTTTACACACTTTTTTTGTTTGTCTTTTACATTTTTCTTCTGTAGCAAGGGGAGAACGATGCAATGTATCATTCTCTCCATTCAGAAGTGTAAAAATGCACTGGGTGGGCTCTACAGTGATTGATCAGTGATAGCCAGTCAGAGGCTATCAGAGCCTCACAGTGATCAGGTGCCAGCACAAAGACATGTATGCATATATGTGGTCTCGTGTAAGAAGACCAATTTCAGTGAGACAGTCCGCCTCAAGGGGCTAAGCAAGATATTTAGTATTTTTTAATTTGTCAGATGATACCACTATCCAGGGAAGAGAATTCCACATTTTGCTGCTTAACTATAAAGAACTCTCCTTGCAATTCCAAGTTATACCTCCTTTTTTCCAGCTTCAAACGTGGCCTTATGGATGTGTCAGGGACCTAATGTTAAACAGCTTTTTGCTGGTACTTCTACCTTTGTTAAATACAAAGACCTGTTATATTGCCTTAAGATTGTTTGTTTTTTTTCACTTATTTTTATCCAGGTACGCCCATCTGAAGCCTTTATTAGTAATTTTTTTCCTTGTGTATGCATCAAAGAAATGTGGGTCTTAGTTATCCAGCTTGTTGACCACAGGAGCAAAACCTCTTCATCGGAGGTAAGGGTTTACAATTTTTTTTTTTTTTTTTTTATTCACAGAGCACCTAAAAATAAAAATCTGAAGGCTTCGGTTTCTGATATTCTAGTTGTTTGAATGAAATGCTTGCCCTATAGCTTCAGTGCTTCTATGCTATGGTGTCTAACTGGAGCAAATATGCAGTTCCAGAGTTCTAACTTTACTTTTGACTTATTTAGATACTTTGACTATGTAAACCAAAGAGTCAGGCTTTTGACCTCTTTAGAAGTAGATTTGTGATGCCAGCCACTGTATTTATCAGTTAACAGGTAGACACACATTTTGAATCTGATGAAGTGGGTATACCTTTTGAATGTTCCTCTGACAGTGTTATTTTATCTGCTTTACATTTTGAATAGCAAAACTGTGCCTGTTAAATGGGATAAATACTGAATTCCTTTAAACATTTCCTTGTGGCACGATTGTATAATATAGTGTACAGAGCTCAGCAGTTTGTGGCACATGATTTGCTGTGACATTGTCAACAGCCACTGTGGAAGGGCATGTCAGTGCAGTTGTGGTCACTGTAGATTGGCGTGGCGGTGAGTGAAATTTGTGGGTGTGGATGTCTGTCTTTACTTACCAGGTGAACTATAAGGCCAGTGTCTTTCAAGTCACTCCTGCAAGCAATAAAAGCATTGTAGAAAGGAAATTTTATGAGTGCATATTTTTCTAATGAAATAAAAGTATTTTTATGTAATTTTTGTATTTCAGAACTTCTGGAGTTTACTCAGTATTTTGTTGCGGAAGCTTCTTCAAGGTCCTGGAGGTAGTGAAGTACATTACATCTGCAATGCAGTAAAATGTAAAGATGCCTTGGGCCTCTGTTGGTGGATTGTTGCACACCTTTCACCACTGTATCAGCTTGATCGGAATGGAATCCAGAAGAGCGTGTATGTTTGTTTATTTATTATGAGTACTATAATATTGGCATGGGGTCAGTTTTTTGAACATCAAGGCAATGTAAAGAGAAGTCGCATAAGTTTTATGGTTTTTACTTATAAGTAGGTGCACTCCTCTTCTAAGTTACATACAACTTTAATTGAAAGTGAAAAATGTTCAGCTAAAAAACAGGTGTACAGGGCACAGACAGATTCAAAGATGATTGGGTTACAGGCAAGTACTTTCAGGTGATTAGACACTGGTGGGAAAAGAAGCTGTAAGAACCCCCATAAAGTCCCTCTCGCTCCCAGCAAGCCTAAATTCTTTGCCAGTGTCTTTAAATGCTAGATGTCTTCTCTCTACTGAATAGGGATTATTTATTTTAAGTATACATTTATGATTTATACAATCAACTTTTCTTCCCTGTGTTCTGGCTAAATATCCTATGTAGAGGCCAAATCAGTGTTTCATGGTGACTGCTTCGGAAATGATACCTGGACCCCATTGGGTCAGCCTATAAATTCACTGGATCCTGCATTAGGCACCCACCTTGGCACGTAGTGAAGCATGTTGGGTTAGCGGCAGGTTCCAGGACAGATGCAACCTGCATCAGTGTGACCCAGTCCCTGAAACTCCCTCGCTGTTTCCCATGTTGTAGGCAACTACTGGTGGGTGATGGTTATGTACATTTCCTGTCTGACTGGGTCTCCCACCCTCCCTTGGAGGTATGCTTGTACCCAGGGGTTGTTTGCTTTTAAGCTAAATCCCCCTGAAATCCTTCTGCTCCATTTTTTTGACTGCTGTGCCAGCTATGGGGTTAATCCCTTTCTTTTGGGTGCAGCCATGGCCAGTCCTAGGTGGTCTTGCTGCCCTGCCTGCATCTTGAGAGCAACAGGTGCACTGTACATGAACCAGGACATTTAGCCACTGATAGTTAACTCGGAGATCTCCTTTCTGGTTCCCTCCCCTCCTGAGACCCATCTGTAGCCTTGTCTGGTATGATGCACTTCTCATGTTTAAGCAAGGAGGGCTTCCATAAGTGGGAGAGTGGAGGAAAAAGATGTAGGATGTTAGAGGCTGCTGTCTCAAGTTCGAAGGCATCCTTTTCAGGAGCAACCACCGTCTGCTATTTTATCGACTAAGCTTTTGACTCAGAAGGTGGTGTTCCTGGTTGCCATTACCTTGACGCACAGGATTTCTGAGTTGGCAGCACTTTCTTGAAGAAAGCCGTTTTAATTGCATCCTAAGGTGAATTTGCCCTTGTCTGTCTTTATGCCTAGGGTGGTTTAGGCTTTGCATCTCAACCAGGATCCATTTTGTTTTTTGTTTGGATTTTTTTCCACGGCCTCAATCACCAGTGGGGATAGGGCTCTTTACTCATTGGATGTGGTACAGGCTATCAGGATGTATCTGAAAGTAACAACCGCGGTCAAGAAAACGGACTTTGTCCTGCTGCTGGACAAAGAACGGGTCATGCAGCTACTAAGTCTATTTCCAGATGGATTTATGAACTTCTTCCAAGTGTATGGGTTGAACGGAAAGGTTCCATCTTTTATGGCAATGGCTCACTCTAATAGGGTTATTGTTACCTCTTCCATCATCAAGCTTCCAATTCTCCAGGTCTTCAAATCCACAACTTCTTCAGTTCACACCTTTTTACAATATTTTATTAGGTGGGTGTTAGAGCCACTGAGGATGTGACTTTTGGTTGCAGTGTTTTGAAGCCTGCTCTTTGATCATCTTCTTGGCCTGTCAACGATTGCTGTATCCCATTCTCTGTGGGTGCACGGAAGAAATCAAATTATCTATGGCTAGTCTTACTCCAAGAAATGGATTTTACCAGCAAGTCATAAATCCTGTTTTACTGCCTATGATGTTGTTGTCCTTTTACTTTTTAATTAGGACATGGTACTTCCATACTTTTGCCCTGCTCCTTAACACCCTTGCAATGTCCTAACTCTGGATGTGGTTCAGGCTGATAGAGGCTACTTTGTCTCATAGAGGCTGTAGCTGCAATCTCATTCCCTCTTTGTGATTCTGGAGGGTTCTTGCAAGGGACTCCCTGCATATTGTGCCACCATTTCTAGGTGGATCTGTCAAGTTGTGATTGAGGCCTATTCAGCCAGGGATCGGGCATGCTGAGTCTTTCAATACCAAAGTTCTGTGTTGCAGATTTGTAACGCAGCCACCTGGTCTTCAGTTCACATTTTAACTTAAGTTATACCAGGTGGATGTTCAGAAATTGGCCAGTGTTTCTTTTGGTTGCAAAGTGTTTCAGGCTGTTGTTTGGCTTTTTGTTGGACCTCTTGTGGTTTTTCTGAGCAGCTTGTTGGCTAATTTTGTTGCCCCTATTGGTATTGCTTGGGGACGTCCCAGTCATCTCTGAACCTGTCTGTGTCTTGTACTGTACTGTATAATCAAGAAAACAGGATTTTTCAGTTGCCTGTAAAATCGATTTCTTGGAGTACAGTACAGGGCCCAGGCCACTTTTATTTATTTTTTTCCTGCAATTCTCAGTGCTTGCTAATAGACTGGGGGTTATATGGGGTCCTCCACAACTTTCTTCTTCCCTTTTTTTTTTTTTTTTTTTTTTTTTTTTTTTACACCAGCGTCCAAACACCTGGAGATACCTGCCTGTAACCCAGTCGGCTTTGAATGTGTCTGTGTCCTGTACTCCAAGAAATTGATTTTACATGTAATTAAAAATCCCATTTTCTCATTGCAAGACTATTGAATTGTCTCCAGTCAACTTCTGTCTATTTTTATCCATTGTTTTTAGCACATTGAAATCTCTTCAAATTGGAAATTTGTTGAAGAACTTTTGAAAAGGTCAACAGATGTTCAGGTAAGGTTCGCAGATTTTATTGCACTAGTATGTTTGTTTTTGAACTTATGAGAGTTAACTTGTGTTTGAGTATTTTCTTGAGTCACCATGTAACACCTCAAGCAGTTTCAGACTTTCATCCAGTGTCATCTATTTAGTAAGAATAGGTTTCCTAATTAAGAATCTTAGAATTTTATTATGTAAGTTTAAATAATTAATTTGAATGACTTTACCTGTTTTAGATTGCAAGGGGATTTAAGTTTATTGCTACAGTGTTTAGGGAAGAGATTTTAAGCCCTTTTTTTACTCTGGAACCTAAAGGGACAATTCCTAACTGTAAAGTGCAGGACATGGGGCACCCTAAATGGCTTATATGCGGCTACCTTCAGGTGAACAAAGTTGCAAAAACTTTTGCTAGAGCTGCTCCTAGAGAATAACTATAGCCCCACCCATTCCATAAGGCTGCAAATTTTGTTTGCCAATGTCATTAGACGATGGACCTGTTCCCATCTGGGGAAATAATTTTCTTTTTTAATAATTGAGTTTTTCTGCTTGATCTTTTAACATCTGAATTCCTTTGGCTTGCACTGCCTATCAGGATCCTGTGTTAAGCACTCGCCTTCACACAACGTGCAATGATTGACGTTGGCTGCAAGGTATTCTACAGGTCCAGGGCCATGGTCCATTTCTATGGTTCTCATACCTTGTGATGGGCAAAGGTTAGACCCTAATAGGTCCAGTGTCAACAAGGTAAGACGGTTTCCCCTGTATATGGAATCTAGTCCTTGACTTTAAACAACATTACCTGCAGGTCATAGTAGCACACACTATTCATTTTAGTTGACAGAGGATTTTTGGTATTATTAGTTATTTCCAAAGGGCTTCCTGCTGCAATCAACGCAGGTAATTTCTAGCTGTGCACACAGTCATGAATAGCTGTGGTCACGGACAGCTTGTCATTGCAGTGGACATGCTCTGAACAAGCTGAACAAATTTGTAGCCAAGACCAAGGGATTTTCTGGCCTTCACAGTAGATGTTGGTGATTTTCTTTTTGGCTCAATTCCAGCTGGTTTATGTATTCCCTCCAATAATCCTACCTTAACTGCTGCACAATATAGAGAATCATTGCACCAAACTTGCCTGGAAGAATGTGGTACACAAACATACTCAGACTTTGAGGTGGATGAGCCTTGGCCTCTTCCAAACAATCTTGCTGACCCAGGCTTCCCTGTTCCATCTCTCAATCACTTAGTTTAACTGCATGGCCAATAAAACACAGGTCCTAAAGGATAGAGGTAGCTCTGACTTGGTCATTCCACTTTGCTCAGAGAAAAGAAATCAAACGCCTGAGCAATTTATCAAAGCACAATGAAAGGCCTTCTTTGTAATGTGCGAAGACAGAAGGCTTACTCCAGGGAATACTCTAACACTTGTATTTTGGCCTTTCTTTGGTCTGGTTTTGGCTAGCGCCTGACCCCTGAGTGTCTATTTTATCTATCTTCTTCCAGAAACCCTTGGTTTGCAACCCCTTATTAGGACTTTTCCTTTGTTGTCACCTTTGGATCTCAACCTGGTGCTCCCGGCCCCTCAGAGACTCTCCCCATCCTTTTGAACCTATTAGAGACATTCCTTTGGAAGATCTCATTTTTAAGGTTCCCGTCACATGTTAGGCAGTTAGAATTAGCAGCTCTCTTGGTAAAGAGCCTTTTCTTGTTTCGGACAAGGATGAGGTGATTTTGAGGCCAAAACTTTTTTTGCCTAAAGGTAGTCCTACCCCAAAACATGACCAGGAAATTGCCCTGCATTGTTTGTATGTTGTCAGAGCTGTCGGGGTCAACCTGAAAGCTTTATTGAAAATCCCTTTTCCTCCTGCTACGTGGGCCCTTGCAAGGGACACCCTTTCTTCTGCTGCACCTTTTGCTAGGTGGATTAGATAAAGAATGCATTTCCAGGGCCTACTCCTTTAAGGAAGGTTTCTACCTTTCTGATCAGAGCCCATTCCACCAGAGTAGTTGGTATTTGCTGGGCTTTGCACCATCAGGCATCTGTATCCCAGATATGTAAGGCTACCACCTGGTTCTCTGTTCACATGTTTTTCAAGTTCTACTGGGTGGTTAACTGTAAATTCCTTATATTGAAGTACATTACAGGATACAGGTCCCCCTCCCCCCATGTCTTGATCATTTCTTATTGCTTTATAAAGGCCAGCGGTATACCTTGACAGTATAATTTCTTGTGTCCCTAAATGGACTACAAATAATTTTAGTGTGTATGCGCACATAGCTTCTTTAGACTGTATGCTGCACACAGTTTAAATAGATATTTTTGCTCTTATGTTTTCTTAAGACTGGAATCCTAGAGGACCAGCTTCGAATGTATTTGCAGTGCTGCTTGTCATTATGTCACCTTTGGGAGGCAAACCTTACTGCTGCTACCATTCTGTGGGACTATTACAGTAAAAACTTGGTGAGTAATAATGTATTGTGAAAAACAAATAAGGTGTGAAACTTTGAGCCTCCACCTCTTCACCTTGTTGTGTTAACATGTTAGACATGTTTTAAAGACTGACCAGAATGTGAACGATATGACACTTTTGTACTGCTTAGCTAAAAAAAAGTCACTCAAAATAAATTGATTTGATTCTCAAAGTGGTTCTAAAAGCTGAAGGTTTTTACCTTCATGGATTTTATGCAGGAAGATAAAAAAAAAAAAAAAAACCTTCAGTGTGCAGCTCCCCCCCATATACTTGTACGAACCTGATCTTTGATCCAGAAATGTGCACGAAAGCAGTAGTTCCCCTGGGTCTTTACCACCTCATTAGCTCAGACAACACAGCAGAAGGAGCCATTGGCTCCCTCTGCTGTCAGTCACAGCCAGTGAAGAGGGGGTGGGGCTGAGCCTCACTGTTTTTGTCTTATAGACATACAGAGGCAGCTCAGGAGTGAGCAATGCACAAGCGCCCCCAGAGCAAGCAACTTGCTTGGGGAGCACTCAGCAGGAGGGAGGAGCCAGGAGCACCAGGGGGACCCGAAAAGAGGAAGATCGAGGCCCGCTCTGTGCAAAACCATTGCACAGAGCAGGTAAAAATGACAAGTTTGTTATTTGATGAAAAAAAAAAATTGAATTTTTAGTATCACTTTAATGTGTGTCTAGGCAAAAAAAAAACAGAAATGCACATTTTCATATGATTTCTTTTAAAGGGATAAGTTCACCTTTTAATATAATTTATAAAAAATGCAAATTTTTTTTTTTTGCAGATAAAAAATGTGCATTTACTATTTTTTTGTTTTGTTTAAGCAGCCTGGAAAGCATTGTACCAGCAATAAGCAGATCGCTGGTGCCATGCAGGTCTTCTGCAGACTGTCTGCCTGTACATCATACGGGCAGGCAGTTTTTACACTGACAGGAAGAATCAATGAACTACCACAGCACTCAGAACTACAAGCAGACAGCCGCAAAGGCTGTTGGTACTTTGTAGTTCATTGATTCACAGGGATCGGTGAGTCAATGATGTGGCCGTGTCGGTAGAGCTCTGCACGACCACTCTCTTTGAATCGTGGCAGCAAGTATTTAGAGAATATTCAGACTTGCTGCCACAAAGAGGAAAGGGGGGGGGGATAGTGGTGAGAGCAGTCTGATACTGAACATGTTACACCCCAATTGCCATGTGTTTTGTTAATGCTTTTGTTTTAATGTGAGTTGCCATAACCCACAATTATGAATGGGCCCGTAAGAATGAAATGGTCTTTTTTTTTTTTCTAAATGTGGAAAGAGCTTTTCATCAGCTCTCAGCAATTCTAACACACATTCTTCTTTTTTTTTTTTTTCCTGCTTTTAGAACAGTCTTTTTAATATCTCCTGGCTTGGATTAAAATCTCTGGCGAATGTCCGTAAAAACCCCCTTTTCAATGCTGGAAATAGTGAAAAGCTGCTGTGCTGATGAACACAGTCCCGACCTATACAAGTCTGATAACAGCTACCTCATTTTCCTACGGATCATAGCACGCCTGATGAAAAAAGCTAAGCAAAGCAGTGGGATACATCCATGGAAGCAAATAAAGGGAAGGTTTGTATGTTATAAACTTATTCCACGTGCACGGTTTACTACCACACTCTGAGATTCTGCTAATGTGCTTTGTAAAGTTTGCTAGACTACTGAATTGTTTTGCTATCTTTTGACAGCTTAGAGATGCTTATTGTTAATTTATTTTGCATTCTTTCATCTTAAATTATATTTCCATATTCTAGTATTGAAGTTGGATTATTACACTTGTTGGCTTTTGAACACTTTTGGAAATCATGCATGTGTTCTTAGAATAAACCGGTTAATTGATTTTAGAATTAATGTAGATAACTGTAATACATACAGTACGTGCTTTCAGATACAGTTTGTAGCTTGTGGTGATTTTTTTATTTTATTTTGGATATCAAGCTTGAATGCCTCCCTTCCCCCAGTTGAATTTTTATTTGTTCCTGATATAAGCATACTGGGGTAGTGGACCTTGCACCAAGATTTCCCCTTTTACAATCATTGCATTAAAGCTGTAAGAAGAAAAAAAAACTGGGAATTAAAGTTAGATAATTTACTTGTTTTACTACTAGATTTGGCCCAAAGAACTATATCTTAATTGTTCAGGACACAGGCTGAGTATTCATTTACCCTGGGTTATAGACTGGTGATAGGATACGCACCTCGGGCATCCCCCCTATAACCCTATCCCATTCCGTGAACCCAGGGTGTGTGGTGTTTTTTTTTTTGTTTTGTTTTGTTTTTTTTTTGTTTTTTTTTATTATTATTATTATTTATGTTAGTGTCCTAAGGGTGATGGGCCTTCTCACTTACAGATTACCTGTTTTAATTATGTTAATAGTAATTACATTTCCATTTACAGAATCTATTCCAAATTTCACCAAAAGAAGATGCAGGAGCTCCAAGAGGTTGGTTTGCAGAACTTCTTCACCCTGTTTCTCTTACTGGCCACATTGGCAGAGACTGAAGATGTAACTAGCAGGGTCCTGGATCTTTTAAATTTTCTAATACCTAGGATGCTCAGTTCTTCTCAGAAAACCCTTGTGTGGAGAGGACACTTTGCTTTTATCCTTACTTATGTGGAAAAAAATATGGATATTGGTGTTCTAGCAGAAAAACTCTCCAATAGTTTCCGTGAAACTGCAAAGGAGTTCTTGGTGTCCAAGGGTGACTACGGTCAGAAGCATACACATTGGTCACTGCTCTCCACATATGTAGATGGTGTCCAAGAAGTTTTCGAAACAAGCAATTTATTGCTTCTTTCTGAAGAAAAACTACTGAATGATGGTTTTGGCATGTTACTTCCTGCATGTCGAGAGTCAGAACTTAGTGCAGTCCTCCATTTTCTACAGACAGCAGTTTCCAGACTCAGGTATGTAAATTTTCTAAACAATGATGTTTCTATGGAGTTAGTTTGTATCCCCTGATCATCCTGGTGCCCAGTTTTGTGGCCATCATAATTACCGTATTTTTTTCACTCCATAAGACACACTTTTTTTCCCCCCAAAAAAATGGGGGAAAATGTCTGCGTCTTATGGAGCGGCCGGCTTGGTATTCCCCCTGTTGCAGGAAAGAAAATCGCTTGTTTCCCCCATCAACATAGTCTGTGTTGATGGGTGAATACCACCTGCAGCGCTATTGTTTTCTGCCAGTGGGGAGCCTTCCCTGCTGATCACTTTGGTGACTATAGTAATTGTTGGAGGTGGACGCTGTGTGTCCCTGACTGGTTGGCAAACAGAGCTCACTATTGTCCAGCTGCAGCTGCTCCCAAACAGGCACAAGGAACCTTTTACTGTCTTTGGGGAACTTTCCCTACTTGGGTTAGGACCTCCTTCCTTGAGGCATTTGGAGCTTTATCAGAAAGGAATTCAGGTGTTTTCTTCTGTTTCAGCTTTCACCCAGGTATATGCTCTTTGTTTTGCATATACCGTATTTTTCGCTCCATAAGACGCACCTAGGTTTTAGAGGCAGAAAACAGGAACAAAAAAAAAAAAAATTCTGAACTAATGGACTGCAGACATAGTACAGGAGATGACCAGAGACTGCGGACAGTACAGGAGATGACCAGAGACTGCGGACAGTACAGGAGATGACCAGAGACTGCGGACAGTACAGGAGATGACCAGAGACTGCGGACAGTACAGGAGATGACCAGAGACTGCGGACAGTACAGGAGATGACCAGAGACTGCGGACAGTACAGGAGATGACCAGAGACTGCGGACAGTACAGGAGATGACCAGAGACTGCGGACAGTACAGAGATGACCAGAGACTGCGGACAGCACAGGAGATGACTGCTGACCTTTTGGGGGGGGGGGGGGAGCGGGTACCTGAATTTGACAGGTACCCGCTCTTACTTCCGCAGAGTTGTTCTTTGATCTTACCTGTTCCTCTATCCAGCAGCGTGCTGTCTTCCCGGCTTCTGTAGTGTCGGCGCTCGGCATGACAGCCGGGTGCCCAGTGCGCATGGGCGAGAAGCACTTGTGCTTTGTGATTGGTCCGGCGGCTTCTGGGATCTGTCATGTGTCCCAGGTACCGCCTTACCATTCACAAAAAGCACCGCTTCTTGCGCATGCGCACTTGGCACCCGGCTGTCAAGCCCAGCGTCCACACTACAGAAGCCGGGAAGACAGCGCGCCGCTGGATAGAGGAACAGGTAAGATCAAAGAACAACTCCGCGGAAGTAAGAGCGGGTACCTGTCAAATTCAGGTACCCCCCCCCCCCCCCCCCCCAAAGGGTCGCAGTCATCTCCATAAGGTCCCGCTGCAGAGCTGAGCGGCCGGCCCGGTATTCTGACACGGCGACGGTGGAAATACCGGACCGGCCGCTCCATATTCGCTCCATAAGACGCACTGACATTTTCCCCCTTTTTTGGTGGGGAAAAAGTGCATCTTATGGAGTGAAAAATACGGTAAGTCTCCTGTTCCTTGCTTCAGATGCTGGCTCTTTACTAGATCTGGAGGAGAATTACTATCTTATGGCTGGACACCAAACTATCCTGAATTGTTCCAAAAGTACTTCTCACATTCCAGGGAGGATTTGTTTAGCTGTCTTAAGTTTTTCTGTTCTGGTCATTTCCAACTCACCAGTCTGGTACCAAGTAGGGCTGCAACTAGTGATTGTTTCCATAATCGATTAGTTGTCTGATTGTTTCAATTAATCAGATAAAAACCTCAAAAATGTTGTATTTTTTAAAAACAATGTATTCTTGAATATCTATATGCAGTAGTAAATATAAAATAACCAGCTATATGAATAGGGAACAAAATATCTAATTCACTTTGAGAATAACGCAGTGAGAGAGATGTAGAGAGAGGGGAGAAAGAGAGATATTTGAATCTGGTACAAATCATCAGACTCTGACATCCTATTTTTTATGTAAAGAGAATAAAATTCAAAAAGACCTGAAACACTGTTTTGCAGGTTTTCAGACAGGACTGTAACATAATATTATGCATGACAGTCTCCCCTGTCATAGGCAGGTAACTTGATACAAGCTACATGCGCCTACTGTCACTTATGCTGGCCATACAAATACATTTTTCCTTCAAAAATTTTCATTTTAAGAATGCTAGTTCAATTTTCTAATCGATAGTAGAGACAAATCGATGTTCATTTTCTACCACAGTGACTGGAAAAATCAAAAGAGTAGAATAGAAAACTTTTTTCTCGCGCAAATGAGTTTTCAGGCGGTGTATGTGAATTTTTGTTCAGAAAGTACATTCATTTTAAGATTGATTGTTAAAAGCAAGTAAAAATTTCTAACAACTTTCTTCTATTCATTGAATGTAAAAATAATTTTTGTACAAATGTTTTCATCCAAAAATGTATAGTGCATGGCCAGCATAAGACACCTGTCATGATTGGGTCAAGAAAATGAAAATGAGCCCTTTATAGTACAAAAACAGCAGATAATCACTGTTATAAGGGTTAATTTATACTGTAACACAATGAAATTACTAATATAAAAAAGATGCCCAGAGGGAAGGGCGAAACACATTAGACGGAGCTTCTGGTTTCCGGTGACGTCACGTCTCTTGTGAGTGCAATACTTGTATACATTTTGAATAAAAGCAGTATTACCCTCCTCTTTCCCTTTGGTTTCTGTGAGGTGTTATGACTCTGTTGTGCAAGCAAAGGGTCCATTAAATCTGTGAGTGTGGTCTCAAAAGGGGGTCACTGAAGAGCACCAGTCATTTTTTTTTTTTGAAGAGCACCAGTCACCATTTGTCGATTGAGCACCGAGCACTTTAATAAGACACATACACATCATTATGGATTGAGTTTTTTATTATTGGACGTTCATTTTGGATGATTTGAAAATTACTGCATATGTTACACTGTTGAGCACTGTTGTTTAAATCTTTTGCATATGAGGAACAGGGAGGTTTCATCTTCTGTAGGATAGCATATCAATGTCAGAAACTGAGACTGGCAGGTAATATTGCAATATTTGCTTCAGCAAAATATTTCTGTAACTCCTAGTTTCTGCAGTGATTGCCCTCTAGGGCTTAGTAAGGCTGGCCATACATTATACAATTTTCTTGAGAATTTTACTTTAGATTTACCAAAAAACATATAATACGAGGTCAAACCTAAACACTTTCAATTGTATCCAATTAGGCAGGCCCTTGCAGTACATAGTTGAAGGTAAATCTAAAGGAAATTGGGCAGAATTTGTACAGAAAATTGTATAGTGTATGGCCAGCCTAATCTGCTGCAAGACTGTTAGACATGCTAACGAGATTTTACTAAGCTTTGAAGTATGTGGTGGTAAAATAATAGCACACTGAATGACTGAATATACAGCCTTCCAGTTTTCAAGATGCTCTGCCCTGCTTCCTTTTCAGCCAGTCTGACAATTTATTGGCTTCACAGCTTTTCCCATCTGAATATCACAGGTTTGCTTTGTCCTATAATAGCTGCTGGAAATATTACCCAGAAATTAAACATACTTAGGCTGGCCATCCATTATACAATTTTCTTGAGAATTTTGCTTTAGATTTATTAAAAACCATATATACGAGGTCAATCCTAAATGACACTTTCAATTGTATCCAATTAGGTGGGCCCTTGCACTACATAGTTGATGGTAAATCTAAAGGAAATTGGACAGAAAATTGTATAGTGTATGGCCAGCCAGCCGGTCAAATTCAGGGTTACCCCGAGGATGACAGAGTATTGTCGTTGACATGCATAAAACACATTATAATCTCATATCTATGCTTGGCAAAGGCAGCAGAGAACACAACATATGATGAATCAGATCTGCGGACCAATACAACCGCAATTCATTTCTTTTAGTAATGCCCATGTTGAGGGTTAGGCCCAAAAAAAATGTAAATTTGAAAACCGTAATGAGTTTCCGTGCGAATGGTCTGGCAAGGTTTGAATTTGGGTTGGCGGCAATAAATTATTGTGCATATAAATTGCTTTGATCCACAATCAACGCATACAGATATTCCATGAAAAACAGCTCCAAAAATCAAGGAGGTATGTGAAAGACCAGGATGTACTAGAACGCTGGTACTCCGTTCATCAAAAGGTAGAGCGGCACTAGTACTGGCACTCTGCTGCATATGAGAGTCATCAAAATTTACTGGCAAGTGCTAACAGAGATCAGGCCTGATTCTGAGAACACTGCGGTTTTGTGTGCAATGTATCAAGTGACAGTGACCTATGGACACTGCACTTGCTGGGGGAGAAAGGGGAGGGGTAAGCGTAGGGGCTAAACGCAGGTGCCGGGACTGATCCTGCTAACGCATTTTTGGGGACGCTATACTAATGTGAACGCTAGTATAGTGCTGATCTGATCAAACATGTTGACCCGTTCAGACACTATATTAGCAATAGATGTTTATGTGTGTATGAGCGTGCTCCTGGCAATCAA